GGGGAAGGGGAAAAAGGCAAAGGGGGAGGGGTAATGGGAGAGGGAGAAGGGGAAAGGGGGAAAAGGGGAAAGGGGAAAGGGGTGGTGAAGGGGGTAAAAGGTTAATGTTTGTGGTCACTGCAACAACAAAAAGCAACAACGGGTAATTTGCTAGTTTTTATGGTCCATTGAAAGCCTTTATTTAAGTGGCACAGACGATTCTAAATGGCATGATTACTTATCAATGCCTGAATATGTAAGCGCTTGAAAGAAACTTACCTGATTATCTTTTATTTGTTCTTGAAGGACTCCAATATCTGATCCAATCTTCTCCTCGTTCTTAATAAGCTTTTCTGACTCCGATAGCCACTGATTCATGTTATCGCATTTTTCACGCCAGGAGTCGAATCTCTTGTATTCGCTTTCAATATCCTCGGCTAGTTTCTCAAGCCTATACAAGGGTGGAAAAGATTAATAATTCATATTTAATATTCTGTTTATTATTTGACAATAAATCCTTATTTCCCTAGCTCCGCAGATAGCAGTGCTAATCGAGGTGGGCCAGGATAATCAGTAAAAGAAGAGGAAAATACACACACAGTAAAAACTACAGATAAATAAATAGATGGTAAACATGAAAACAAATTAAGTCTACGGAAACAACTATGTGATTAATTCAAGTTGGCAGCGCATTATGTTCTGAGAGGTGATTACATAGGATAAAATGGATAAGGTAGGATGGGCGAGACAAAGGTGATAGCTGCTAAGAGTATTTATCAACTTAAGAGATTATCGATTCTAAGTCTTCGTAGGAGTCTTCAAATTCTAATATATTGAACAAGATCGTACGAATTCTCCTTTTAAAGATTGAACTTTTTTTAACAGAAATTGACGATAATGTGTCATCATCTTGTTACGTTGATGATAACAACCTATGGTCTGAAAAATATGGTACATTTTTCCAGCAAAGACCTCCAGGAAAGGGAATAGAATGGTATTTCGTAACAAGAGCACTCTGTTAACTTAGAAGTCTTACCGACTGGAACACTTAAACAATACAACACGATACAATAACAGTCCAAAGAAGTTAGTTTTATGACAAATTCGATCTGCTTTGGATGGGAAAATGTTGCCCTACTCACGAAGCCTTGTAAATTGTTCACTCTGTTTTTGATTAGCAAACGTCCTCAATTTGAGAGGCAGGAGACTTAACGCTTTTCAGTCGGTCTATTGTCTGTCGCTCGTTTTAGCAGTAACAAAACAATTAGCAGTCTGTTTTGTTTCAGCGCAAATGTATCGGAGATAATCAAACAAACCATCGTAAATTAGAAATATATGATAGGCGCTCTTCAACTTGGTCACTACCAAATGTATTTCTTGCCATAAAGAAATTGAGGAAGCTTATTCATATCATCAATCGTTAGTTATGAAAAGGGTTCTGAATACAGAAGAACACAATAGATGCTTGATACTTTTAGGTATTCATTAGGAAGTCTTGACTCATTTGATAAGCAACACAAGATCTCAGGCAATCAAACTGCTCGATCAACCTTGGATTGTTCAAGATACAAATTTTGTCCTTTGGCTTACGACGTTCTCCATGTGCTAAGTTTTTCTGATGCTGTTCGCCGTTGGTCGAGTCACTTTACACTACACGTAACGAGTAACCATGCATAATCAGTGATAAGTATACCTGCTCTGCATTAAGTCAACTGTTTCGAAGGCTAAAGCCAACGACTTTTCAATATCGCCACCACCTGTTTCCATGGTGTAGTTAAGACCTAAAAGTCTTCATAGCTATAGGGTTGTTCAGGGGTTCATAAGGCTCTTTTGGCAACGTAGGAATCTTAACTTTAATGCCTTTTTTTCCTTGAAATGTTATTGTCACGGAAATGCAAACAAACGTCACATTCGGGATCATTCAAAACTAATATTTGGCTTTCACGCTTTTGTTTACAGAAAAGCCAAGATAATTGGACAACTACCGTGACTTTTCGTGTAACTTTGAATTTATTAAACGATGAAAGAGTAAAAAAGGACACTTGGGAGTGATTCTTCAACTGTTCCCCGTCTTTAAAATCAATGATAACGACTGTAATAATAAAAAATCTTGGAAGGCTTCGACGAAGGAACAATAGAAAAGTTTGGAATGTACCAAGATGAGGTTCTACATTTAAATGTATTCGACTTTCCCATCTGTTATAATATAGAATTGCAGGATTGCGTTGGCTTTTTTTTTTTTTCAGTTAAAATTGCTTTGAGATTGAACAGACAATTTCTGCCACCCTCTAAAAGCTGAGCTTTCGAAATATAGAAGAAAGAAAAATGAATGAACAAAGTAAAATGACAAAAAAAATTAAGAGAAAAAACTTGATTTTTGAATCCCGAAATATTTTAATCTTTAACAAGTAGCTATTACTCGGGAATGTTCGGCAACTACGGTAAGTCTCATCTGCATTTCTAAATTAAACGCGTGTAACGTGCTCTTGGCCAAGAGCATCGCAAACACCAACCTTTTCTCGCGCTCAATGACATCAATGTTCAATCCATTCCATCGATGATTCAAGTCCGTCAATCGATCGTGTATTTCATTGTCTTGTTCATTTTCCAGCAAACCACTGTCAATGGCGCTCCTACCCAAGGTAAAAACTTCATCTGCATCTTTTTGCTTGGTTGATGCATCGGTCATTATGTCCTGGAAACACAAAATAAAACAGTAACCCTTTGAAATTCGTCCACTGTGATGAACTATCGTTGGTTATTGATTTTGCTTTTAAGCGGGGTATTTTTCTGACTCGACCATATCTTTGGCAAGCCAACGACGATTAATGATTATTTAAACTTCTTATTCAGAAAATAAGCCCAATATAATTTGTTAAGCCAAAACAGAACACGAGGGAAGACGGAAAAATCTAAGTACCAGAGGTAGCCACTTACACAATGAACTTATATTAAAATTTAGCGATTCCAATTTTCACTGAAAATTTTAGTCGCAAAATTGTAATTATTGGAACAAAATTCGTGAGTCTCTATACTTCATGATCTTCCAGGAGGTCGACTACTTTGTCCAAATTAACTCCATAGTTGGCTCCGACTCTGGAATTTCCACGAAATCTGGCGGTGATTGAATTCACTGCATCTTTCAACGCCTCAAGAATCGACCATTTTCGGTTTTTCTTGGCACGCTGGATATCTTGAAGCCTTTCTCTGACCCTGAAAAACAGAATGTTACCCCATGTCAACGAGCAAAAAGCATACATGAAAAAAAAAAAAAACTACAGTAAACTTCAACAACAACAACAACAACAAGAAAGAGCATTCTAAATGACTAAGTCTTCAAAAGAAGTTGAAAGAGGTAGGATTTTTCAAAGGATATGTGCGTCATTTCGTCTACCGTAGAGCGATTGGAGGGGAGGGGGTGAGGGGGAGGGGGTGAAATTCGTTGGAGGTCTTACTACAGTTTTACCGGCATTTCAGGGCATAAAAGAGATCATCCTTCTACCCAAGTGACAACGCTTTAACAAAACTTAAATGCCATTACATTAGCAGACTGCATCTTATTGTGAAAAGCTCACTTAAAGAGAGAAACAGCAAAGATAGATAAATTTCAAAATCAAAATAACTCCGTAGAAAGAACTCCAGCTTCGTTGATTGTACTTACGTTCTAAGGTTCGCATTACATTCATCCACGGTTGGTTTCCATTCGTTATTATTTTCTCCCCGTTTCTTGGTCAGTTCTGGTGACGTGATCTCGGACAGCCGCTTCTCAAAGCCAATCTGTGTACAAGTAGTGGACACCAGAAGAATACCAAATCATTAGATCTCGCTTAATCGAAGTGCACTCTATCTGCCACCTTAGTCTGCCAAAAACGCCTACCAAATTTTTTATTGGAAAGTTACTTCAAAGTTGTTTTTATTGGAACTTTTCACACTGATACTCGGTTGCCGTTAAAAGCTTGCTCTTGAGGGACAAATTAAACTATTGAGGACCCAGATACGGATCACTGACTTGTGATTTCCTTTTTTAAGATATAGCTGCTCTGAATTTGGCTTTCATGAAAACCAAAGCAGCACTAACTCACTCACCTCTTTTCCAATAGCTTCTTGTTCTTTCAGTTTATCCTCTGCTTTCTTCAACGATTTTTCGAATCGAGCAGATCTGTCATTCCATTCGTCGAGTATTTCCTTCTGGTCTTTTTGAAGCTTGGGAATCTTCTTGACAATCCTAAGAAGACAAATTACATACAAAACCGGAAATTTCAGATGGTTTGGACTGTTTTATTTAGAACACTGCATTCTGTTGAGTATTTTTATCCAATTTTTACAAGTCATAAGTTGTAACCCTTTTCTTCTCTAACTAAACCCATAACCTTTCTGAAAGGTGTTGCATGGAATTTTTAACCACATGGTTCAGATAAATGATAAGGACCCTGTTACAAAAATTACCATGCATTGGTAAGGGTTCTCTCGACTTCGTCAGAAAAAAATCAGCTGTATCAACTGACACGAATCCTTCAATATTCAGAGACTCTTAGGAGTACGGCACGAGTACTCACCGTGTTCTGGCGTATACACGATTACCTTCTACCGTTGCTAAATGCTTCCAAGCTAATAACACCAATAAAATCAAGTGGATGACAGCTGCAAGTAATTAAGAGATACGTGTCTTGCATTAGCTAACCGTACAATAATCCACTTATTTACCTGTCCATGCGATCTGTAGCTTTTTCCAATACGTCATCCCATCGTTTTTCGCAGTCCTCTGCGTCTTGTCGAAGAGCTTTGCTTTGCTCCTTCGAAAAGTTAGGGTCCTTGGATAATCTGTACGCTGTGTCCGTTGCTTCAGTAAATCGTGGCTCGTAATCGTGAAGTCGTTTGGTTAATAGCTGTGAAAACGTAAAAAATTATCTGATGGACTATTTTGATAGGATACACATCTGACCACTACCCTAACCCAACATTAATCCCTGGATGCTATTGGTTGACTGTTGTGTCCAGCTGCCCAGATAATGGCATAGATTCCAAAACTCACTCGCCTTAGTCTCGTTTTTGCAGTTTTACTGTAAGTTACATACCGAGTTTTATCGCATGCGCTAAGGTCATAAACAAAAGGAAAACTTCTCATTCTCAGCAATTTTCGGGGCAAGAAAAAGAAATAAAAACAATCAACATATGTATCAATCGAGTTGCATGGTTTTGTCCTTAACGAATTTCTGGATATTTACCTTCATGTCTTCTTTCTGTCGTTGTAAAGTTTTTGGATCGTTTCCAATGAGATCCATGTTCTCAATTTCTTTATCTCGAAGTCCAATCCAGTCCTTCACAGCCTGTAAGTTAACCCTGGAGCCAGTGAGCTCGCCAGCTTTCTGTTGTTCTTTGTCCCATAGCTTCTTTTTTATTCTAGCAACAGAGAATTCGTATATATTTGGATCAGCAAATCAGGATCTGCAAAGCGACAGCGTGTAAATAGCCACAAAACGAGAGTTGATTGCCGCGTCGTATCTTTCTTTTTTTAGCTTGAAAACTAACGAACTGTTGGATTTATCGCGTTTCAAGCGGAAAAGTTGGTTTTGAAAGTGTTGACAGACTTAAATACTTTCAAATTTGACCGGTTGGGGTTGAAACAGTCCCGGTAGAACACGAACTCGCCTTGCACCTGATATCAACGGTCACTTGAGAGGTAGGGTTCAACTTATGATGTTATCTGACCTTCCCAGTTTAGTTCTGCAGATGCTTTCAAAAAGCCTATCATTGTGAGGATCATTCCCCATTTATCATCCCCACTTCAAACATTTGTCATATCATTTATCATTCAACTTTCTCCTTTACCTGTTTTTCTTGACATCTTTATCGGTGTTGAAAGAGTGCCACTGGCTCCTCAACTTCTCCATATCTTCGTTGACGTCTCCATGTTGCTTTTCAGATATATGTTTGTCGTTGATAAGCACCTCGTAGTCCTTCTCAAGATCTTCAAACTTCCTATCGTAGTCAGGTAGCTCTTTTTCGAGACTCTGGAATTTATCAAAGAAATCAAGATTTCAAACGCCTTCAATCGGTTTGTGTCTTTCAAAAACAGCCGTGACAAACTCAAGACATGCTTGGCCGATATTAATAGTACTGGACTATATTTTGTTGATGACGTCGATCAGTTAACAACTTCATTAACAAGAATAACGTGCTTAAGTTAATGAAGTCAGGTTAAAAGAATAAAAAACATACGCAGAGTGTTGTGTAAGGTAAGCACTGATTCGAATCCGCAAATTAATTTACCTTAACTTTTAAATTAGTCAATGCTCAAAACTCACCACAATTTTACTTGCTTTGTCCTTGAGAGAGGCAATGGTGTCATTGTCAGCTGCATCGGGTAATTTTTCGTCTTGATCCTTAAGCCAGCTGTGAAGATCGAACATATAGTTTTGATAAACCTCAACGCTTTTAAGCCTTTCAGGACTTTCATTTGAAGGAAAGGCTATTGTTGGGAAAAACTGAATAGGACAAAAAGAAAAACCGAAAAGCAAACTACACCTGAAAAGCTTAGTCTATTATTCTTTGTAAGTAGCTCTATGCCATGCCCACTTTACCCCAGTTGATCTTATGATTCCGTCGTCTCCACGCATTTGAACTTTTAGCAGGTGAAGTCTCGTTACACACTTGAACGCATTAGGACATGTCTGATGACAGTGAGAATTTGTAAACATCATAGCGATTTTCCATGGAGATGAATTCCTTGATTCTCTTGATGTTTATCTTGCATGTAGAATTTAGGCGTTGGTTATTCTTGGGGCTTTTAATTAGATGGTTTTACATCTAGGTGTAGCACTTACACGCTTATATCGTTTGCGTCGTTTTTCCAATCCTGCAGCTTTCCCTCAAAAATAAACGATTCAGGTTCGGCCGCAGCCTCGACGACATTTTCTTCGACAGACACAACCACCTCGTCTACTGGGCTGGCAAAAAGTCTGGTTTCCTGTTCCACCATTGGTATGTGAGCTAACGGCCCCAGGCTATACCCGAACCCGTTTTTCTACAGGGTAGAAAAAAAAATACAAAATATTAATCAGGAAAAGGTGTTTAAAATATATTATAATATAATATAATTAATGCAAGTGGAATTGAAAGGGCTAGGACGTTTCCTAAACATAAGAAGAAAATAGCTAGTGTTTTTATCCATTGTTATATATTATCAGTACGAAGGTGTGCTGTGCTTTTGTGACCTTTTTCCCATTGACACCGTCTCTTTCAGCTTTAGGAACTGACATAACCTCTTCCATCGTTGGGCTGGCATTAATTGAAGGTTCCTGTTTCACCAACAGGATGTGAGGCAAAGATCTAAAGTTTATGTGAAATCCGTTTTCTACACGGGAAAGAGTGGTCATGCAAGAGGTGTTTTTTGAAAGACAATCGGAATGGACAGGGCTGTGTCCCATACATGACATACAATCGATGAGTAATCCTCATCAATAGAGAAAAATCAATGGTGAGAAGATGCGTTGTGCTGCTTTGACACAGTGTAAGTTGTTTTCGGGTCATCTCCAGTTCAAATAGGTGTAACTTTAAAATTTTTAGTCTAAGTAAGCCCCTGCTATGAAAATTTCCTAGACAGGCGGGACCAGTTTATTTTTTTTGCTAAGAAATGGAACAAAAACTTGACGAGGTATACCGTGAACTGAACAAACAATACGGGCGCTGGACGACTAACCTTTTCCTTTTCCTCTTCCTTCCTTTTCTTCTCTTCTTCCTCCAGTCGCTTCTTTTCCTCTCTTTCTTTCCTCTTTTTCTCTTCCTCCTCGCGTTTTTTCCTTCTCTCTTCCTCCCTTTTCTTTCTTTCCTCCTCCTCTCTCTTTCTACGCTCCTCTTGCTCTTTCCGCCTTCTTTCTTGTTCTTCCTTCCGCTTTCTATTCTCTTCTTCCCTCTTCTTTCGTTCCTCTTCCTCTCTCTGTTTTCTTTCTTCTTCCCTTTTCTTCCGGTCTTCCTCTTCTTTTCTCTTTCTTTCCTCCTGTTCCTGCTTCCTCTTTTGTTCTTCTTCTTGTCTTGCTCTCTCCTCCTCTTCTCTCCTCTGCCTTGCTTTTTCCTCTCTTCTCCTTTTCTCTTCTTCCTCCTTTCGTTTTCGTTCTTCTTCTTCTTCTTTTCTTATCCTTTCTTCTTCTTCCCTCCGTTTCCGTTCTTCCTCTTCTTTGCGTTTCCTTGCCTCTTCTTCCCTTTTTCTTCTCTCTTCCGTATCTTTCTTTCTTCTCTCTTCCTCCTCCTTTCGCCTCCTTTCCATGTCAATTTGCCTCTGCATTTCTTCCTCCTCCAGCATTTTCCTTTCATCTGCCAATCTTTTCTGTTCGTCTTCTAATATTTTAAGCCTCTCTTGAATCCTTAGGACGTAAAATACACTTGTAAGGAAACGTTTTCAGGAGAGGAAACTTTACTAATTTCCATGAATATCTAGAATTTAAAGACTGAAACCAGGGCTTTTATCACCAAACGTATAATGAACTCAAACAATTTGTCTCTTAGTTTCTGGCATGGGAAGCTAGTCGCATGCAAGCTTATTTTACTCAGGATTTTGACTCATGCGAAAGATTTTGATATTCTTTCAAAAAAACAATATTGCTGATTCAAAGAGGTGGCTAGTACCTGTCATGTCTTGAAGTGGCTGATTCATACAGGCCGTCCCATCTCTCGTGGAGACTTTGCATGTCTTTCTGAATCTTCACCCTCTCTTCTAATCCTACACAAGGTTCAGTTGTCAACTTATTACCAAAGTCGGTCATCTCAGCGAACTTTGGTTGCTCCTGAAGAAGTTCAGTGATCATTTCCTAGTAAAAACAAATAGACCCGATGAGATCCACTATCTAATTCTGAAGGCCTTTCATAAACCGTCTCTTCCTCTTCCTTCTCTAGAGGGTTCACCAACCTGTGCGTCTTTTCCCTGTGTTTTTACATAGCTGATGTCGTATCCTATTGGCTCGTATGACTGTACAGTTGTCTCATTCTTACTCAGCCATTTGTCGAGGGGATCGGTTTGTTCTGGCCACAGCTTCATTTTTTCCCGCTGCTCCTTCTCCAGTTGCTTAATTTGATCATCCAATCTAGAAGCAGAAGAAAAAGAATATGGTGTTTTCCACGCAATATACTTGTCAATGTCAAATACAGCATCGTCCTTGTAGTTAAGATGGGGTCTAGCAGAAAGGTCGTCTTTCAAGATCTTTTGATACATCCTGGACTCACCTCTCGAGCTAATAGCCAAATTGCATGTGACAACAATTCAGAGAAGCCCTTAATATTTTTACATAATTAGGAAGTGCCCATCGGAGGCAAACTAGAGCACCAGTGAAAGCAATCACCTCTCGCAAAGTGTGGCTTTAATGTGTTTCTCATACCAAGCGTTACTTTGCGAAAATTAGGAGTTTTTGTTCAGTTGAGTCCGTCACCTTAAGAATTTTATCTGCAAAGAATGAGTCTGTCTGTAAATAAAGGTATGGTATCCCTCATATCAAGTATTTATCAGTACATATACATATTAACAGCAAAAAAACCTATTTTTGGCAGCCTCTGCAGATGCAAGAAGTCCCTTATAACGCTCAATAATGGCAGCTTTTTCATTGTTAACCAAGGTCCTCTCTAAGTCACGCATGCTCGGGTCGTTAACAATTTTGTCTCCAAGTTGATCCAACTTGTCCATCTGATTATCGTGCCGTTTGATTTCCCTCAATATGTCCTTAGAGATTTAGAAAAGAAGAATTACCCATCGAAAAACAATACCAGGCACAAAGAACATTGAGGTCATTTCTAAAGCAAAAAAAAAAGTTTAAAGACCTCAATTTCCTGTCTTTGAGCCCGCGCATGATCAAGATCCGGAGCAGTGACATCTTGAGCTTCCACACGCGCAGAAGTGTCAGATAACCACTTGAGAGTAGAGTTACAAGAGTTCTTCCATTCCCCTAACAAATCTTTTTGACGCTGTTGTAGTCCGACGTGCATGTTTTCGATTCTGGAAAAAAAATAAACAGAGCTCTTCCATGTATATTTGGCTACGAATCCGATCATTTCACAACATTTCTAGCTTTATTTTCCTTACAAACCTATGCTGTCTCGCGTCAACATCGAACTTCACTTTGCTCCAACGTTTCTTGAGGACTTCAGCCTCTTGCTCCACAGTCTCCAAGTCCATTTCGGGGAGTTCACTTTGATCGATCAGCCTGTCAGAGTTCTTTAGAAAGTCGTCAACTTGAGGATCTAGCACGTTCACACTTTTCTTCAGATCCTACAAAAAAGAATAAGAATACTTAATTTTCATCAAGAAAACTGAACAGTATCTCACAATTGGTCTGTACACAAAAAATTTTTCAACAGCGCACACGTTTGGCTAACCTGGGCCTCAGTTTTTTGTTTCTCCAGTGCGTCGAAATCTGGAGCAATTTCCTGCTCACAGACGCGTTCAACTTTCGCTACTTCCTCCTGGATTACGTCAAGTTGATCATTCCATCTTGAAAGTTCACCCTCTGTTTTCTCTAAGTTCGACAGTTGGTCTTCCAATCTGCAAAAAGGGATAGAGAACCTCTAATAGCTTTTACTAAGATTGTAGGTACTCTCGGCTGTCTGATATTGACCAGATGATGCAATCGCTATCGCTTATAAAAATAGATAGTTTACCGATAACTTCGAATACCCGCTCAATTTTCGTTCTAAATATGCGAGTTTGAACGTACTGTTTAGATCCAGCTTAATTCATAACGTATACGTATATATAGGGCATTTATCATGCCTCACTTTACTTCTTGTAGTTCCATTTGGAATAGCTGTATCAAAGAAGATAGTGACCGATTATAGAGATTACATGAGAGGGCCATTAGACTTTTCCAACGGATATGATAGTCTATGATATAAGATTGGTTACTCGTTAAGTTGTAGACGGAAACAAGATATGCTTTTTATAATTTGTAAAGCCCTCTATAACAATATGCCTCAGTATATTCAATCTTTATTTTAAGTAATAGAAAATAAGAAAATTCTTAGGGGCAAAAACAAATTTGTTTTACCCGTAGCTAAAACCACAACTTACGACCTTAAATCGACTTCTTACATTGCTGCTAAGGCTTGGAATGCATTACCTGATAAGCTAAGATTAATGGCCGAATTTGGCCCTTTCAGGAATGAGATAAGAAAACTAAGTAATTTGTAATTCTATATCATCATTTCATATTTAGGCTTATATTATTTTTAAACTCTGTTATTTATATTCATATATTTTTCCTCGGTATATTAGCATCTCTATTGCTTGAGGCCTAAGAAGCCTCATTTTCATCCGAGTTTAAATAAAGTCGTCATCATCATCAAAAATGTCAGTACCCATGCTGGTGATCGTTAATCTTGTCGACGACCCTTTCCCATCTCTCAAGGCGGTCGTCTTTATCGTGCTCCATGCTCTGTTTTGATCTCTCGTCAATTACAGGGTCTGCCAATAGTTCGACGGTGAAAGTTTCGAAGTCATCTACTTTCTTTTGTTGTCCATTTACCTGGTTCGTTTTCTAAATATAAAGAGAGACATTGTTTGAGATCTGTTCAAAAAATAAAACATGTACTTGTCGATTGGCAGAATTTTAGAGTGAATACCAGTGATCCTAGAGGTGTTGCCATTGTTATTCTGCTTCTTTTTTATCAGTAATACTGTTAAGTGAGACCAGAACTGGATCGGTACGATTTTGAGCTGTAGTTGCATAAAGTTGTAACATGTGGTATGTACTTGTGCTAATAAAGATCTACACCCCCGTGATGAGGGTGTCTGGGTGAAGACATCCACCCTTGAGATTGCAGACTCGGCTTAAAATTTGGCGACTTCTCTAACCAACCATTCTACGGCCGATTAAACAGGCAAATGGTAACAACCTACATTTTTTTTCCATTGAATCTTCAGTTGATAACAAAATTCATTTGATTCTTCACTTTGAATATCCTACCTGGAAATCATCATATTGTCTTTGAACAGTCTCCAGGTCATCTCCTATTGACTCTAGCCTCTCTGTTTCTCTCTCTGCCTTACGTAAGAAGCTGTCAAAGTGATTAAGCTTTTCTTCCCAATCATCAAGCTTCTTTCGTCTGTCCTTTTGCATCCTCTTAGAAGCTTCATCAAGTCTTAAGTAAGGACAAAATGGGAGAAAAAAAAGGAAGTCGGAAACCATATTTTAGCTATTCTTGAAAGTACTGGGAAATAGAACGATTAAGAGAGAGCTGAAAAAAAAAAAAACAATTAAGGAGGTCAGAACTGTCTTCTTTTAGAGGAAGAATTTAATTTTAAACCAGGGCTTACATTCCTTCAGGGTAAGTGTTTAGTTTTGTTTAAAAATAATGATTTGCAAGTAATACCAATTCCAACCCAGCTGTGTCAGGGAAGCTAATGAAACATAATAATAATCTATACAAGCCAGTATCAAACAAACAGTAAAGATGAGTTGGAAACGTTGCTACAACAATGAGATATGGACATACACCTGTATGCGTTGCATACCTCTCTTTTCTCAAGGCGACAAAATCCTTTACTCGGTCCCAGCGCGCTGTCAAAGAATTAAGATGTTCTGCCACTTCATCTTTCCTTTTCTGGGTAAGCTTAGGGTCCTTTTTCACTTTCTCTCCCAAGGCAAGAGTATCAAGCATCTGAGTAGTGTTCACTTCCATTTCATTGGAAAATATCTGCAGGATAATATCATCAGATAAAAAAAAGATATCTTCCATACTGGAGAAAAGAGTTTGGTCACTTGCACAAAGTTCATGTGGGCTGTTGCCCAGAACAGAGGCTTGATCGGGTTGAATCAAACGGAAAATGTTCTCCACTTCAAGAGACACCATTTGGCCAATGGCAGTCCAGGTAAAAGTAAGAGACCCATACTCGAGAGATTTTATCACCTTGAAATGCTTATTCGAAAGTGAGTAAGTAACAAGGCACAAACTGGGACTAGATGGAATAAGGTTCCCGAGACAGCGAGTTCATATATATAAAGGGTTAATCTCCTAAGTGAGTTGAGGTTGTTAATGAATGAATGATTACAAGCCGATCTTAGGATATCAAAACAGGTAATATGTTGCTTTTGAACTAATCTGCTGTTTATTGCCGTTATAGTATTAATGTGCTGACCTCAAACGCGTCTTCCTGTCTCCTGACAGTCTCTATGTCATTCCCTATCGGGTCATCAATAACAGATATCTGACCCTCCAGTTTATCTAACGCTAGTCCCGCTCTTTCTGAGCGAATCCTCCAGCGCTCCAAAGCGTCCTGTTCTTGTCGCTCCAATTTGTTAAGGTTTTCTTCCATCCTGAAAAAAGGAAAAATAATTTCAAAGTTCAACACATAGTCTGCTACTAACTGCATACACAAGCGATCTTCTGCTTAGGTGCAATACTGTCTGACTGTGTTTTGATGTAGACAAAATTCTGCTCTCAACACGATCACCCTTCCTTGGTTCGAGTCTGTAACTCTCTATGCAGGGGTCCAGTGAGCCAATAAGTCAGTTGCACAAGGGTATTACACCAAAATATTCGGTTACCTGGCCTGCTTAGCATTTGCGAGATTAACCAGATCGTTCCATTTTTCATTGCAGATGACAGTTTCCTCTCGCACACCTCGCCTCTCTTCTTCCCCAAGACATGGATCAGTGACGAGGTTGCCACTGAACTCGTTTAGGTGAGTAACCTTTTCTTGATAAACTGGAGCGTCTTTGATGATTTCCTTAATTAAAATGGAACCCATACAGTATTAGTACATTCGTTGCCTCATGTCGCTCATTCTTAGAATCGCTGGGCCACAGGATTACGAGAAAGAAATTGAAGGATAATAAGACCATTAAGAAAATCCTGAATAAGAGACAAAACAACAACGAGGATATTAAAACAACAACAACAACAACAACAACAAACCTGGAAGTCATCTAGTTGTTCCAAAGCAGCGTCTACATCAGTAGCCAGTCTTTGTTGTGCTTCAACCTTCACTCTTGTCTTAACTACCCAACCATTGACCTCACCAAGTCCCTCGTGCCACTTCTGAAGCTTGTCTTCTTGCTGCATCTTGAGTTTTGAGATGGTGTCGTCAATTCTGTTTGGAAGAGGTTAACAAAGTAAGAGGTGCTGTCTTGAAAAATATTTTAAAAAGGGAAAACCTATGCTATGTTTTTTTTTTTACCTATCGGATTTCCAGTTGACCAACTCTTCCAGGTTCTCCCAGCGATGACTAAGATCCAGGACTTCTTTCTGTATCGCGGTACGATCGTCTTCGGGAAGCTCTGAATCTTTCAGCAGTTTGTCTCCATATTCCAAAGTTTCACTTACTTCACGTTGGTGAGAGAGCATTTCATTGGTGAAATCCTAGAAAACACAAGAGGTCAAATAAGAAAAAGAGATAGGGATATATAGTAAGGGAATCAGAAAATTATCATCCCTGCGACAATGTCATCAAGTTCTTTTCAGCTATTCTTTCGCCCAAATGCGAAAGAAAAAAATTGAAACACTGATGCATTTTGAGCCTCAACTGCAATTCGTAACTCAAGTCCAACGACCCCGATTTTTAACCTCATCTCCCTACGGAGCGCCCTAGTATTTATTTCTATGGACCTCAAGCTCAGCCTTCTGTTTCTTGACGGTGTCCAGATCCGGGGCAATTGCAAATTGCGTATTCAGCTTATCTTCGGCTGAAGAAACCCAAAACACGAGAGGATCAATTTTTCTTCTCCAGTTTTGGGTCTTGTCAAGGTGCTGCTGTTCTTTCTCCAGGAGCAAGACTTGGACACTGAAAAGGCGAAATAAAAAATATTGTCCAGGTATATCAAGCAATCCCTTATTGAAGTAAGTTCTAGCATAAATTTCAGGAAGAAAATTTAAAGGACAGTATAAAAGATGCGAAAGATCAGTCGATAACGAAAAAAAGAACGTTGCTTCGATTCCGGAAGCAATCTGGTGGTTTGGTGGGTGAAGGTGGTGAGGAGTTAGAATGAATTTTTGCACCATTCCTTAAGGGTTTTTAAAATACGCTGGATTTAATGATTTATAATAACTGAATCGAAGTCTCTTCGATCACTCATTGACAAATTTAAACACTTACCTTTGCTGTTTACCGGAAGTCAACGTGGCTAGTTTATTCCAGTCATTGTGAAGTGCAGTCATCTTCTCACTTACCTTTGCTGTTTACCGGAAGTCAACGTGGCTAGTTTATTCCAGTCATTGTGAAGTGCAGTCATCTTCTCACTTACCTTTGCTGTTTACCGGAAGTCAACGTGGCTAGTTTATTCCAGTCATTGTGAAGTGCAGTCATCTTCTCATGAACAACTTTCCTATCCTTTTCCGCATAAGTATGATCGTCGATGACTTGATTTCCTTCGTCGATAACATCGTTTACTTCCCCTTGCTTTGAAACTAAGTCCTTGACAAGATCCTGAAAACACAAATGAAGGTGAGCTTGAGTGAAAAAAGCCTCCTCAAACTGGGTGAAACATTCGGTGCCTAATACGCGAGTTGAAGGGTAGGCTTTGAACATTAACTAATATGCAGCACATTATATTACCTAAAGCTTTCCCTTTTTTCTTAAGAAGTAACCGTGGCTTAATCGTTGGGTCGGGAAATAAGAGTGATCCAGAGAGGTAAGCATCTGGGCCCTACTTTATGCTTTGTGTCGTATCCGTGTCGATAGTACACGGGATTGTTACACAATTTAGTTTGCAGGCAAGAGTATAAACAGTACCCACAAATTGGGGGAAGAGGGATCTAATAACATTCTGAAGGGGGGTAGCTTGCGATGAAACAATCATTTTCAGGAGGGAGTTGAAATATTTTGTAGCCAGTCTTATTCAAGAAAATTGCTATAAGATCTGAAAAAAAATGGGACACTATGCTCGAGAAACGTTTACCTCAATAACACTCTGTTGTCTTTTTATTCCTCCAAAAGATGACTCAGGAGAAGTCGGTCGGGAACGTAACCTTGTATATCTGTCCGTCACCCAACCATGAAGATCGTCACATCGCTCGTGCCAGGTCTCCAAGTTTGTTTGTCTAGCTTGAGAAGCTCCCAGTTGAACACCAAGCCTTAAGTAGCAGAAAGGGAAAGAACGGAATATGTGCCATTAAACACGAAGGCGCGCTATAAAAGGAGCCTTAGGTCCCACTGGACCATTTGTCAATCCACCGTCGTGATGTAGAACTCTTAGAGTGAAGTCAGCTTGAGCTACAGCTACTCCAAAGCAGTGAACAGCGGGCGCATTCCTCAAAATTGTTTTATGTCTTCATCACAATACAAGAATTTTTGAGATTTTTATTTCCTTTCTCCAATGGAAACTATCTTTATTTGTGGCGGTAAATTTGAGATCGAAGTAGGTGGTTCGCACGTTACCTCCTGCCACCATGCTGGTGGAAGTAAACAATAGATATCTCATTAGCTCCTTTTGTTCGTCTACCAGCATTTGAATTTGACCCGCACACGTCAACGGAGAGTGACAAATGAGCCTAGGTCTTCCAGGGAAGACTTCCTTGTATAGCGCGCCTTCGTGTTTCAACTGACATCTCTTATTCCTGTACCATCTATAGCCGACTTTCCCATATCCAATCTTATCAAAGGTTATGCTTTAATTTGTACAAGATTGCGCTGATTTTCGCTTCGAAACAGACACAAGCAGATTCATGAATCTTCATGAATCCTGTTTCCTTTTCAAAGATTTGTATGAAAAAAGGGCCAACTCCAGTGATGGACACGTTCTCGCATTTGTGCAATTGCGTAAAGTCGATCGATACTTGCCCACATAACTTTTAGTCCAATTCTTTTAAAAATTCTCTCATAAGATCTGATTGTGTCACGTTATCCCATTCTCGAGACAAATGAGCCTAGTCATCCTTTCTCAGATTTCATTTTTTCCTTATCTTTTCTCCTTATCTTACTTTATTTACCCCCAAAATAAGTCAATACACTCCATTCAACACAATACCTGGCGTATTCATCTTGAGATTCTTTCATAAGAGCCTTCCATCTTTTTTCCAAATCACCGACGTCGTTAGACACTTTTTGACGGCTGTCAGAGCTCAATTCTTCATTTGACGCCAACTCTCTTCCAAAGTCCAAAGTCTTTATCGTTTCGGGTTCAGTTTGAGCTAGATCTGCTGAGAGGTCCTACCAAGAATATTTACCAAAATTATAAAATTATTACCACAAACCTTGAAAGGATAGCATCGAATACAGACAACGCTTTTCAATAGGATCGAAAAAGTCTTCTCTCTGAGAACTGCCCCCCCGCCTCCCCGCCAAGCACCTCAGACCCCTCGAGACAACCACAGTATGGAGGTATGCATTTTTGTTCGTGAATGATTGCTATAGGAAATGAGAATAACCAAAACACCATTTGGAATTTAAAAGCGAAAAACTGCTTTGGATTCTTTATTCAGCGGCTGTTTAACAAATAGTTAGCCACTGCTAAAAAAAAAAATGGAAAACAGTCAATCATAATCCAGGAGAGCCCTTTTTATGTTCGACACTATTACACAAACCTTGCAAACCAGAACTGCGATCTAATGACTATGTGGATAGTGGAATATTCCGTGTACTTCTATGTATATGACTCAGAAACAATACATTACTTACTAGTTCTTATATAAACCTAAAAATCTGTGAAATATCCCAATGATTACCTTGAGCAGGATATAAGAGCTTTCAATGTCTTCATGACTTTCCGCGTTCTTCCCTTTCTGAATTTTTTCATCAGCAGCATCCATATACGACGTCAAACTGGCACATCTAACTCGCCAATCTTTCATCATCGCTTCCTCTTTCTCTGTTTCGTCTAACAGTTCTCGAAGCCTGTGAGCAAAGATCAGAAGAAAAAAAAATCATGGGTTTGGTCACCAAACGAAGCTCGTGACCGTTCTTTTGGGTACTTAAATGAAGTCGAGGATCCCTAAAGTACTTTCGGGACAGTGTATGGTATAGAAACAAGGATACATATAGAACATGAAAAGGAAATAATATCTAATGCAGTAAGCATTTAATATTGACTTAATGCTATTGACATTGACAAGAGAGTACGAAAGAGATTAGATTTCCGTGACAAAGCTTTCACCTTGAAAAGCCGTTTGCAAGAATATCCTTGAGCGTTTAAGTGTGTTTGAGGGTGTGATGTTTTCTAAACATTTTATTTGCTGCGAAAATGAATACAAGTACTTTCTGACCTGAGCTAACCTTTTATAGTCAAGCTGGGAGTAAATAATCATTTACCTGCGTTCTTGTTCATCATTGGCTCGCTCCAGTCTCTCCATGTCTCCTTCCAGTTCATTCAAGTCTTGTTTGATGTTGGCCTTATTTACGTCACCGATGACATCATCCTCTAATAACTCTTTTCCAAACGCCAGGCCGGCATTTATCTCGGGCTTTGATGCCTGTAGTTTGTTACTACACTCCTGTAATGAAATCGAATAAGATGAAAAAGAGGGCATAAAAAAGGCTAGGATAAAAACTTGACAGTATTTTCTACGAACACGTCTTCATAATTCAGCTGAAATATCAACCAAGCATTTTTTAATTACAAGAATAAAAATAAAACCCAAACTCTCCGTACCTTGGCCAAAATGATTTGCTCTTCGGTATCCCCGCGGTCTTTCGAATCACCCTTGGTTTGTAGTTCAGCCAGTTTGTCATCACACTCCTTCATCAAAATGTTAATGCGTGTGGTCCGATTCTTCCACTCTTTCACCTTTTGTTCTTGACCTTTCTGATAAAGAATATCTTCTAGCCTGTAAAGACATTAGGGAAATCACACAAGTATTACAATTTGATATGATATTAAGCACAAACGATCTAATAGCAGACGTTGCACAAACAAATCGAGTATATGGAACGTAAATTACTAAAAATCGCCACTGGCGTGAGATAAGTAAGATAGCTTTTTACTTAACGAATCCCTGCGATGAAAACTCATTAGTACCGAAAAACAAGCCCCCTTTCTTATATGTAATAAAGGTTTGAACCTGGGTATCAATATTTGAAACCCAGGGGCCCGTTTCTCGAAAGTCCCGGTAACTTAGTAGGCCCGAGGCCTGTTTTAAAATAAAAATTCAAAGGATATAAAAGCAGGTTCTGACCCCCAAACCACTCCATTTTGTTTCTTTAGTTGATGGTTTCATTTTGTTATTTTCATAACTTTTGAAATTCCCATCCTGAATGAAAACAGAACCGCTTTACGGGTCCGTTAAGTTACCGGGACTTTTGAGAAACGGGCCCCAGGATTCTTAACCACTCGTTGAGCTGCGCTCGCCGAAAAATACAGTGAAAGAATTGAATTGCAGTGCACAAACGGCGCAAATGGCCATTTATTCGGGAGTAGATTTGCGCAATTGTACTTTTTTAGAACTGAAAATGTCCTTGTCACGTAACTAGGTCCTGCAAAGTCATGTGAAAATGTGATGGATTTTTACCTTTTCTTCTCTTCGCCACTGGTCTTTTCTAGTTCTTTTAGGTCCTCTTCGATGTGATCCAGGTCCTGCTTGACTTTTGCCTTGGTTTCCCCGTTGATTATATCGTCATTTAGAAGTAGCGAACCATAATCCATACCTTCATTAATCATTGGTTTGGTTGATTGCAACTCCTCTTCCAATTCCTACAAAAGTTGAAAATGCTTTACTGAAACAAACATAAAAATCCCAAAGCACAATTTTCTAAACGAGGCTAGTCTCTCGGTTAGCTCTTTCAATGAACTTCTCGTGTACCCAACATCCCGGGCGGTTTATGGTAGATCTATCGAAAGTACAGTCTCTTCCAAACAAAAAAAACTCACCTTGGCGAGAACGATCTGCTCTTCCAAGTCCTTTTTATCATGCGGGTCTCCTTTTGACTTCAAACCTTCCACTTTTTCCTGGCATTTGCCCTGCAGCTGGTTTATTCGAATAACCCACATCTCCCACTGTTTTAGTTTTTTCTCTTTTTCTTCGTTTTGTTGGAAATATATCTGCTGCAACCTGATAACAAGATATTACGGGATGAAAAAAAGTTAGTTGTTTGCATTTTTTAGGCTTTCCATGCACGGAATCCTTGAAAATCAGCCTCAGGACGTGACAGGTTTTGTCTTATTTTTACTAGTTAGATAAGCCAGTCATTATGGTAAATGGATAAAGTTATAAATCAATCAAATATAAAAGTATGAACTAAAGGCCAACAGTGCTGTAATGTGAACTAACGGAATGAAAAAGTCAGAGTACATTTCTGACAAGTCTCAGTCAAAGTACCTTAGTTTGTCTTTAATGTCCACATCATTGATTATGTCCACAACACCATTTCTTACTCCAAGCAATACCTACAGTCAACCACAAACTTACAAAACCTTTTTAATCCGCAACACCTCAACATCACGCAGTCACACGCATCCCACATCCTCACTTTAACAAACACAGTGACATAATTCTTACCAAGACAGACAAAAATATGGGATGGGCCCTTATGCCCATCACATGGTTTAAAGACGAATACACCAGACAACTTACAGACTCCACCACATACAAACGTATTGACAATTTTGACCTTACCAAGACTATAACAAACTCCAACAAATTACTTAGCAAACTACAAATACGTTTTAACAACCACTTTGAACCTCAACCGACAAGAAACTACTATTTAGTCAAAGTACCTTAGTTTCTCTTTAGCGGTATCTTCCTTCAGGTCTTTCAGAGTTCGTTCCATTTCCACCACATCTTCGTGAATCTTTTGCTTTTCATCGGGATCTGTCAGATCGTCATCCACCAGTTGCTCACCATAATCTAAAGCAAACTTGATCTCCGGTTCTGTATTGGTCAGACTATCCTCGCAATCCTAATGGACACGAAGACACTTAGCACTGACCGACACATGGTGATCAAAAACCTTTATGTTCGCAAATGTAAACGCTGAGTTTCGAAATCATGACTTTTGTTAAATAAATTTTGAGTCTTCTCGTACTCTGATGCGCCTTTTTATTTTTTCTTCTTGTGTTTCCATCGAATCTCGCAAAGTCAGAACCAAAGCAATCGAATCGCAACGGCCGAATAGAAGAAAGGAGAGTGTCATAAGAAACGCGGTGAAACAGGTGCTGCTAATTCGAGATTGGTTTCAATTTTGTTTCTGATTGGGTAAGAGGATGGCACGCGCTTTCTGGACCAATCAAAGACTGTAGAGATGTAAAACCACTATAATACTAGATTACCTAGTAGCCCAGCAGTTTTCAGTCGAAAATCGACTGAAAACTGTTTCAAAGCATACCTTTGCTTTTGCCAATAACTCCTCTACGTTCCGCTTCGTGGGATCGTTGGCCTTGACCTCGTCAAGGTGGTTTCGTTTCAAAGCAAGAAGTGATCGCAGTTTCACTTTCCAAGTCTCCCATTTTATTAATTTATCCTTTTTATCTGTGTCATACTGGATGGCTAGAATTTCCAACCTAGGGAGATATCAAGTAAGACAACGGCAGGTATGCAGACTTTGAAATTACTTCAGTGAGGAAGGGAAAATGTTGCATTGTATATTGTTATCCCAACTCCTTCAACAGACTTTCCGCTGTCAGATCGTTAGCAATTAATTGCTTACCAAGCTGAAATAAGGTGTTTCAACCATACTTAAACCACTGGGTAGAGAAACGACGAAAAAAAACAACTTCCAAGATAAGTTTCGAGGAATTCAGGGCATATGTTAGTCAACGAAATCTTTTTAGAAAAAAGTGTAATTGCTGCTTGGTTTACAAAGATCAATGGACTTGAATTTTTTTAATTAGTTTCTCTCTTTCATAGGACAACACTCAGATTTTGTGAGTGTGTCACCTTTTCTGGGAAATTTTACCAGGATAAGATAAAGATGCATCATGTTGGTAAAGCTAATATTTTCCTGGTACAAATTACATTCTCATTGTTTTGCAAGTAGTTACAGAAAAAGACCCGTAATATGAGAAAAGAAAATATGAAACAAAGTAAAAACTAATAAATAAATCCATGGCAAGTTTACAAGAGCCTTAATCTAAATGTTGTAACCGTTTGTTACCTGCCCTGTTCGTCAGCGTTGTCTTTCTCCATTTTATCCAGATTATATTCTACATCGTTGACATCCTTCTTGATTGAAGCCTTGACATCATCGTCAAGTATTTTATCGTCTATCAACAGCTTTCCGAAGTCAAGGCCTTCGTGAATCACCGGTTTAGCAGCCTCCAGCTCTTCCTTACATTCCTACATTAGGTGTAAAAAGGATATATGAAATGCCAAACTTCATCTTTATTACCAAGTTTTGCCCTACAAGGACTCTCTTGGATGGAAACTTTGTGACCATGTATCATATACTGTCTTTTCCCTCGGGAGAGAGTGGTCCTGGAAACGATTGCTACGAGTGTCACTGACTGACGCGTCGAGAACCTTAACGATGCATGCTACATGAGATCGCGTTGCACTTCCATTGAAATCTTATCAACGTAGGTAATCGAAGACCGTAGCTTTTCACGACAAGATACTAAACTCCGCGATTATAATTGTTTACCACAACAAAAGGTGAGCCCACAGTAATTACTGTATGCGGACAGGATTTCAACAGACGGGTAGAGAGATTATATATCATTCATGGTGACTAAACAATGGTCTTGCACGCTCACTGGCGTGACGAGAAGAATTAATGGGTAAGGGAAGATGATTGGTTCATACACCAATTGTGGATTGGATTTAAGTGTAAGCACCCGAATATGACCGCTCTGCTCCTTGCGTTAGTTACCGGTGTGTTATTTCTAAAATCATTCATCTTGGAGGCAAAAATTCAGAACCACCCTTTCACTTCACAAATCCAACAAGAAGTAAAAAAAGAACTGATTTCAATACATGCGCTGCAACTATAAATAGAAAGCAGAGTTCAAATTTCTTATGCACAATCCATTTAATTCAAGCTGAGCAACAAGTTCCGACCTTCACAAGAACCATTTGTTCGTCGACTTCTTTCTTGTTTTGAGGTTCATTTGCTTCCTTGAGTTCATTTGTCTTGGCTTGACACTTATCCTGCAACTTTCTCATTCGAATGATCCATGTTTGCCACGTTGTAATCTTGTCCGATTTCTCTTTATATTGTTTGATACTCAAGTCTTCTAATCTGAGGACAAAACCGCCGGAATGAATTCAGAAAAAAAGGTGAGTCAAAGAAATCTTCAAAGCCACCTCCCGATCCCAGAAAATACCGTTATTATATGGCTGTGTCCCACAAGGACTGGGAACTACCGAAATCACGAATTTGATTGGCTGAAATCAATATTGAAAACGGTCTAGATTTTCCCATCTAGACCGGCATCTGGACCGGTCTAGGAAAAAAAGGTACAAAGAATATAAAAAATTGGCATATAAGACACAGCCATATAATAAACATCTTATCAACTGAGCTAGGTCGGTCTGTATGGGAGAATCTTGACCTCGGTCGCTGGTACAGACCTCACTACGTTCGGTCCGT